CCCAGCACCTTGTTTTGTTCACAGCTCATCCTGCCAGCGGAGACGTGTTCAGAAACAAAATCGAGTCTCCGCGGTGCTGGTGATGCACGCAATTCACATCTGCTGAGCAGAAACTTCTCCCGTGCTGCTCCTATGATCTCAGGGAGGTCATGTCAGCCACACACCTGCAACCTGTTTAACACAAGGATTGCTAGCACAGAGCATCAGTACTTGTCCCTACTGCAGCCTAGGAGACATCTACAAGCTCTCCCTGGCTTTAGGTCTCTGCTGAAGAAGAGATGCACAGGGCTCACACTAAGTGGGTTGGTCTGCTGAGGGGACTGGAGAGCCCCTGCCCTGCTACAATGGGGAAGAGTAAGAAAAGGAAGAGGAGGACTGGAAGTGGCTGCCAAGCTCCAACATCAGCCTTGGGACAGCAGGAACCACTCTGACCTCCAGCCCTAAGCCTTTCAGACAGGCCTCCAAAAGCCAAATGTTATACAAGAAACCCTTGTAGCTCCTCATTTCCCAACACTGGAGTGCCTGCGCAAGTCTCAGCAAAGCAGTAGGATGGTGAAGAGTGCTGCTTTTTCCTTCTTTCTTGGCACATCTGGAGATGAGGGGAGGTTTGTTGCTTCAAGCACATGTGAAGGGATCCCAGTGCACAAGAGAAGGCAGTCCCAGGCCACAGCAGATGCTAAGGGCATCTCCTCTCAGTTTCAGAAGAAGAAAGGCTAATCCAAGAGAGTTTAAAGAAACCTGTGGTTTAAAGTGTCTGCTGCCTACTGGCCACAGCTGCTCTGGCCCAAAGATCAATTGGCTGAAACGTCCCTCCACTCCCTGCCAAGAGGGAGTACAAACAAAGGGGAGCATTTGGTCCTCAGCTCATCATCCCTTCCTACCTGCCCCAAATCCACTTTTATAGAGCTAACCATCAGCATCACTTCCCTCTAGCCAAAGCTGTATTAAAAATACACACATGCACATCTGGTGCCTTTTCTGAGTGCTGCAGAAGGATGCTTTCTGAGAAGCCACAATATTGGCTTTATTCCCAGCTATCACTCTTTTATCCCCTTTTTACTTTCAATAGCTCTGTCATATATACAGGATTTTTTGATCTCTAGATGCAAAGAGAGCTAGCTGCATGCTAACAGGGACCAGCAACAAATAAGGGTGAGGGGAAAAAAATAAATACTCCTGGAAGGAAAGAGAAGGATGATGAACTCCAGTATACCCGAGAGGTTTAGAACTGAACTATGCTTGAACCCAAATATTTGATTTTTCCAGAAGCAGTGCTGTATCAAAGACTGCTCCTCACATCCACAGTCATTCAGCATCTGAAACCACTTCTGTGACAGCAGCTCCCTTGGGAAGGTTCTCCCCACACAGTGCTCAGACACCTCCACTTCTGGACATAGACAAGACCTGGTGGATGCTTCTAACCCATCTGCCTGAACAACTACCGTCATCACCCCTGCTCTCCAGAGCTCATTGCTGGTTTTTCCCAACTATGTGACCTGATCCTATTGCCTCTAATGGCTGCACACATGGAGCTCACTTCTATTAGGCTCCCCATGGAGATACAGGGCATTATTCATTAATTCTTACTCACCATTTGATGAAAGCATGAATGAGAACACTTCAGATTCTATTTGACGCAAATGAAATTTGAATCCAAAGAAGCAAAGAGGCAAACATTTACACTTAAACTTCTCTTTTGAGTGCCATCTCCTGCTGTCTCAGGACAGAAGGAATAGCATATGACCTCTAAATGTATGGGAAATAAGGCAATATGGCCAATGTTACAAATACAAAGCACATCCTGCAGCTGATGAGACCTTATTTCAAGACATTATTTGAAGCCAGGGTTTACTATGGAATGCCTTCAGAGTTAGTAGTTTATTTTGGAGATTGTTCCACTAGCATAAAACACAAACTAAGGACCAAACAACAGACTGCATCTTCAAAATATATCTACATATTTAAACATATATATTTTAAATGAATCTCTTTTTCATTTCAGTGAGTCTGGTAAAGAGAACAGAGTAAAAGCCCTGAAATCCTCTACTAGAGTTTGCAACAAGATCAGCTTGAGTACCAGCAATTCAAAAGTCATCAATTCGAAATGCCAGTGTGATTGCGACTGCTCCAGGGCAGTCACCCACTGCACCGAGTTGGCCTACCACAGATAACACAGCATTGTACCTTTCACATCTCCCACTCATCTTTGCCATGAAAGGGAGCTAGTGCTGATTCTGATAAAATTGCATTTAGAAATGCTAAATTGCAGGCCATCTTATGCTAGCAACTGCACAAGCACTATTAGTTTGCTTATTACCTGCTACATGGAAGCTGTTGGGACCCACTGACCAGGAGGCAGGGGTAGACCAGTGCTGCCAGAGTTCATTCCAGCACCAGGCACAGGCCACATGCAAAAGCTTCAACCTGCTTTTCATGTTCTCACCATATAAAACAGCAGTCCATTTATTTAGGAGGAAAAAACCCAGGGTTTTTATCAAAATCATAATAAGTTAATACTTCTTATACTGTTCAGTGAAAGCAAGACAGTGATTTACTTCCAAAAAGTTTTTAGTGATTTAATATTCAAAAGTTTTGATATTTTTGTTGCACAGGTCAATGGGAAAGCCATTAACAATTCTGCATACACCTTGTAAGAAAGGCTGCCCGCATCCCAGCTCAGACAGAGCGTAGCCTGATAAAAAGGCTTAATACATAAATGCTTGTTTGTGTTTGGAAAGTTCCTGGAGCTTAGCCAAACGTTCAGTGTGCTGAGGAAATGCAGAGAGACAAGGGCCTGCTTTTAAAGCAATGCTTGTCTGCAGCTCTGTATTATCCTGAGTGACATTCTGTCCAAGTACAGTAATAACACACATCCTTGCCTGCCACTGAAAGCAAAGCCAGATTTTAATACCCGATGGGAATGTTCTTGCTTTTGGGAGTATCCAGACCTGGGAAAAAAAGAAAACCAAAAACATTCTGCTTATAAAAATTCTGATTTCTTCACATAGAAATGAACTGGTTTCCAACCACAAAAGCCTTTCAGATAGGGGGTGTAATCTCCAAGCTGCTGCCACGAGTCTTCCAGTAATACCTGTAATTTACACAGAGATGTTTTGCCACAGATTACAAGGAGGCAGAGCACTTATTGCTCTAACTTCAAGAAGCACGGAGCAGGGCAGTGATTTCTACCCAAATTCATTCAGCAGGTCAGGACCAAGAAGACCTCCAGCCTCCCAAGTTCCTGCAGACCTGAGACACAGGGATACAGCTACACCACCTGTAAGTCAACCACTCTCATCCCAAACCAGGGAGAAACTCTAAACACCCTGTTTACATGTGTTTGGCTTTTACTGAAGACAATGAAATGCAAGTACAGGAGGAAGGCTTGACCGACCTGCTGAGCTAAGTTCACATGCACATCCAAACAACAAACCAGGCAATAACATTGAAATATAGTATCTATTTTTTATCCTGCTTCCTTTGCCTCTCTGGTCAAGGGATGCTAGGATTTAGGGACAGGTCAAGAGACAAGCCAGGAAGATACATGTCTCAGGAGAAACCCATAGCTGGAATTGCCAATTATTCGGAGCCATGCCATCAATAAACTCCCAAGTAGTAATGATTTTCTCCCCAGGGTGACAGGCAGGTGCTTCTGGCAAGTGACAGCAAACTCATCGCTTCCCATTGTAAAAAAGTTACCCTAAAAACATGCTTATACCTGCCTGAACAGTTGTACGTGTGAAAGGAAGAACTATGGTAAATGCTTCCTATTGCAAACAGCCTCTTTCAACACCATGGATAAGAGTGCTACATTTGCTGTTAGAGAGATCCCCTCGAGGTCCAGAGCACTGCTTGATCAATCTGACCCTGAAGAGCAGCTCTGAGCTGGCTTCTACTATTTAACAGGGCTGAATTTCCTTAAGGGCTCTTTCTAGAGTACGGTAGGAAAGTGATAGAGGGAGGAGTAACAGGTCTGTAAGATCAGGAGTGGAAAGGTAGTCAAGAGGGAAACTACTCCCAGATTAGTGAATGGGGATGAGGGGTGGAATTGGATGAAATCATCAGGCAGTGTGTCTAACAAATTAAATAAAGTGCTTTTTTACACGGTTACTTTATAGAAATCCCCGAGACAAGTTATTGCACAAGACAAAGGTGTTTAAAAGGATTTAATAAAGGACTAGACAAAGTCATGAAGACTTAGCACCTAAGGATATGACTTGAAAGCCTCTAAACAAAAAAAACTGCCAAAAAGGTTTATCTGAGACAGGCTCAATGTCTATTTATTTCTCATGCTTTTTTAATACACACCTGCCACTAGACAGGCTTTGGCCAACCAAGTGATGGCTACTTCCATGCTGTCCTTAGCAGTGAGCAAGGGCAGAGGACAGCAGGAAAACAAGCCACTGCAAGGGAAGACTGCAGGATCCAGTCCTTCATGCACACATTGGCCTCCAGACAGCAGGACCACTGACCCATTTTCTCCTAGAACACTGTTGTGGAGCTTTCTTTGCTTTTCAGAGAAAGGGGTTTTAATTTTGCCTGCCCATGGAGTCACTGTCTCACATGTACATGCCCAGAGGCCAGTCCCATCATAGCTCATAAGATGACTTGCAGATGAATCAGAGCTGTCCTCTGATGGTTTTCATACCATTGCTTAGATTATTCTTATTAAGTGAAAGAAGACACTTTAAGGTCTTTTTCTCTTCTTATTAAAGATTCTGTCACAGGAATTACTTGTCGCCACAGGTTTAATCTTCTGCATAGTCCAGCTTTCACGTGTTTGCATTCATGAGATGGGGACAGGACATGTGGAGGAAATTGGACCAAATTAACCTGCTCCCATGACGATCCACAATAATAACAAAAGTGGAAAATGGCAGAGAATTAAAGTGTTCTTGACAAAAACTGTAATGACCTCCAAGAACGCCTCTAAAGTAACTGTCCAAGTAATAGTTTCCAAGTGCAATTTCAAGGATATGCTACGCAAACTCCCCTTGCAGAATTTCAAACTACCAGTTAACAAGCCTGAAGAAAGAATGAGTGAGAGGAAGAAGTAATCAATATTATAATTAGCAACACAGTAATCTGAAACAGGGTGATTGGGTTAAATAAGGACAGGTAGATTGGATCAGGGAAAACTCTAAACAGACGATCTTAAATCTGATTTGGTTTTAGCTTTGGGAAAGAAAACAGAAATTGGCTGTACTACAACAGGCTGTACTACAACAGGCTGTACTACAACAGGCTGTACTACAACAGGCTGTACTACAACAGGCTGTACTACAACAGGCTGTACTACAACAGGCTGTACTACAACAGGCTGTACTACAACAGGCTGTACTACAACAGGCTGTACTACAACAGGCTGTACTACAACAGGCTGTACTACAACAGGCTGTACTACAACAGGCTGTACTACAACAGGCTGTACTACAACAGGCTGTACTACAACAGGCTGTACTACAACAGGCTGTACTACAACAGGCTGTACTACAACAGGCTGTACTACAACAGGCTGTACTACAACAGGCTGTACTACAACAGGCTGCCCTGCTCTGTTTCAAACTCAAAATAATAATAAAGTGGAAAAAAATGCACCCAAACAACAAGCCGCAAACCAAACTGATTTTAGATAGGGTAGCCTTAATTAGCCCCCAAGCAGAGACAGCATCAATCGGAGTCAAGGCAGAATTAGAATGAAGGGCCATCTGAGCCTGGGCCTGTCCTCTGAATAAAAAGGTTGCCTAAAGTAAAGTATTTCCAGTGAGTGAAGAAAGAGGCTGTATGCTGCATTTTCCCTTTCAAAGGTGGCTGAGGTAGACAGGGTTATGTTTTCCAGGGATTAATAAAGGAGAGAAAAAGGAAAACCTTGTTGTTATCCATGTAACAATGGCTGTGGCACTGCCTAAATGTTCCTGCTCAGAATTGTTGTTTCTGAAAATGGTGTCAGTTGCCATCACATCAAAGAAGGAATTCAGGAGGTTGTCCTTGAATCATAAAAAGAGACCAAAATGTCATTGTGAGGATAATGCTGTGTTCTGACACACCAGCCACAGGCTGCATCTAGGTAACATAAAAGCACCTTGGCCATATCAATGCATAGCTGATCACAGTTCACGGAAGGTAGAAATATACAGAAATATCAGTTATTCCTTCAGATAAAACCAAGTAATGATACAGGGCTGTCATAATACACTGCTCCTTAATCTAGCGAAACTCTGTGAGAAGAAAGAAACTAATCCTTAGAGGATTTCCACTAAGTATAAACAATAATATATTACTTAAGGGCTTAATACAGCTATACTGAGAAATAAACCTCTGAAACGTAGTGCTACTGAGGCTCCCAAATTCCAGTGCAGTACAGTGAGCACTTCATATGGGATTCTTCTGTCCAACTTCAAATACTAGAAACATGAATATTTACATATGAAAATCCATTTAGACTCCCTACATGAAGAGCTAGATACTTCTGGAGAGAAATCCCTTTCATTCTATTACAGATGGATGGAATAAGCAGCACTGCAGATGAGTAATGCTAAAGCTAGATTCCATTTCACCAGTCTACAAAAACTGGAAACTAGTTCTGTGGCCAAGACAGAGTTTTCTTACACGAATTTCTTCACATAAAAAAAGACTAAGAAAGCCTTGGCACCAATTAAAAAAATACAGCATCAAGATAGTTGCCAAATCCAGAGGGCCACGAGGATGATCAGGGACTGGAGCACCTCCCATATGAAGATCGGCTGAGAAAGTTGGGGCTGTTCAGCCTCGAGAAGGCTGCGTGGAGACCTCATAGCAGCCTTCCAGTATCTGAAGGGGGCCTATAGGGATGCTGGGGAGGGACTCTTCATTAGGGACTGTAGTAATGGGTTAAAACTTAAACAGGGGAAGTTTAGATTGGATATAAGGAGGAAATTCTTTCCTGTTAGGGAGGTGAGGCATTGGAATGGGTTGCCCAGGGAGGCTGTGAATGTTCCATCCCTGGCAGTGTTCAAGGCCAGGTTGGACAAAGCCTTAGGTGATATGGTTTAGTGTGCCGTGTCCCTGCCCATGGCAGGGGGGTTGGAACTTGATGATCTTAAGGTCCTTTCCAACCCTAACTATTCTATGATTCTAAGTCATTCTCATCACACAGAGTGAACCAAATTCTTCTTTCAGACAATATCAGCCAACATCAGCAGAAGTGAGCCCAAGGGCATTGTATAAAGGAACACTGCCTAAACTTCCATTTCTTTCTTTAGATACATCTCAGTCCCCAACCCAAACAATAAATCTCTGTTTTAGGAGCCAGTCTGTGGAGCACAGTTGCAGTCAAAGCTATTGTTGCCAAATGAAAGCAGCAGGCAGATGACCGTTAGAGCCCTTTTGTTAAACTGTTCCTTTGATAAAAGTTAAGTTGGCTTCAAGGCAAAACCCAAGACACAGAAGCAAGCAAAAGTCTGAAAGGCATTTGGATCTCAGTGCTAATAACCCTAAAACAGGTGAGACCATAGCATAAAATAGAAGAAAGTCTGAGGCACAAAATGCAGTGAAGATATTCAAGGGTCACTTCCTCCAGGCTCAGTGCATGTCAGGATGCTGATGAGTTCAGTGTGTGTCCTATACTCTTCCCAATTTGTTCAAGCTGATTTTGGTAAAAGTGCAAGGGATGAAAGCCCTGCAATTTAAATAGACCTTTCTGACTGTCAGTTAGATTGATTGCAGTTTCCTGCAAACAATACATTTTTAAATAGTTCTTTATGGAGTTTATTTTACTCCCAACATCATCCCCTATTATAAAAACCTCATAACGAATGCAATCACATTTCTATTCACTGCCTTTCCAAAGTCTTCCTCCCTCCCTTTTCTCTGGCCACCTGTTAGCTCTTTCTTCTCTAAATTTAACTCCCTCAGCTTTGTTTGGTAACCTTTTCCTCATGTCCCCATTACCCGAATTCTGCTCCTGCTGTGGTAAAGCTGGTGGGGAGCTGGATCTGGGTTATTTTGGAAATGGGCGGTAATGACTCAGTCCATCAGTACAAGTTTATTTATGGATGTTTTTTCCTTGAATAAATAAGGAAAAAAACTAAAAAATTCAAGGTCTCTACCACCTTTTACAGGACATTCACAGCATAAAGATGACATTGGAGTGAAGTGAGGATCTCAAAATACATCTCATTTTTGGTTATCTATTATATTGCCCAAGTAGTAAAAAGGCACTGGGTAGTCTTTTACCGCTGTGAAAGGTAAATATAGGCGCAGTGGAATTGTAACTCATTTGTTCAGTGCTCGTTCAGTGCTGATGCAAATGATTGTGGAGATACTGTGGCCAGCACAAAGGCACAGTCTCAGCTGCCCAAGGCCACTGCATATAGCAGGGAACAGTCCTGTCCTCAAGCAATTCCCCCACTATGTCATGACATGGTGTTTAGGAAACTGCTTCCTTGAAGATGCACTTCCACTTCCCTAAAAGGATAGCGAGTAAATCCACATCACTAAGCACAGAATTCATTGCTCTAAACATTACAGTCTGTCATGCATTTTGCTCACAGCACTTGCCCAAACTTTGCTGCATAAACAGCAACTCTCTGTCAGAGTATTTCATTGACCCCATTACACAAAAACACCCACAATCCTTTGGAAAAGGAGAGAAGCTCCAGGTGCAGTAGCATGGTTCAGCCATCCTGACATCAGGGATGTAGGAGAAAACTGTAGGTAGCACGATCCCAATGGAAGGAATAATTGCAGCTTACTCCCACATTAACGTATGCTGTTCTGCAAGCCCTGCCCAATGGACTCTCCTGCAAACTCCCCTACTGCCCCAATAAACCTAACCTTGAGCGAGTACAATTTAAAAGAGTCTATGGAAACAGGCTGATGCACATCAAAACCACACAGTTAATGCACAGTGAGGTTACTAAATGAATGAATTTGGATGCAAGTAGAAAAACAAAAGCTGTATTTCATATACAGAGAGCCTGACAAACCCTGCTCCCACAAAGCACATACTGATGTTGAAAATACAGCGAGCTTGTGTTGGGACACAGAGAGGAGATACATTTAAAATGCCAAAGTTGCTGGCATGGCACCAGGCATTGGTTTAATTTCATTCTCATATTTGCACAGAGCCAAAATGAGTCATCTTCCCCATGAAATACGAATCTGTATACAACGCTAGCTGTTAATTACCTTTCCTGTCTCCATTAAGAAGAGTGAAGAGACAGCTTCAACCTCTCCCTGGGCGAGCATTGTGTTCTCTCGCTGTCTCCATCCCTTGCCAACAAATCTGCCGCTACAACTCAAGTGGCACTTGAAATATTCAGTCTAGCATTTCAACAACAGTATAATAACTGATAATTTGACAACAAGAAGCCATCTTTAGGAAAACTCAAGCCACTTGTAAATGCAGTAGAAACAAACAGAGGTATTTCTTCACCGAGCCTGCCCACAGGTTGGTAGTGATCACTCCAAGGCTGGAAGCAGTCATCTCCAGAGTATTTCTGGTTAGTATTGACTCCATTGAATCAAGAGGCTTACCCTTCATTTATTTACATGGCTATGCTTTCATGTACATAATGGTTTGAGAATAACAGGACTCAAAGGAGATGGTATCTGGCTACAGAGGGATTGCTCCAGACATCCTAGACCAAATACCACTGCCCAGCTCTGAAGAGGTCACTTCTACAGCTATGCTGTCACCTCAGTGACCAGGACACACACCTTGTACCACTCATATCTCCCAAACACTGTTGATATCAAGTAGTCCACTAAAATTCCACAAGTTTCTCATGTGCCTTTCTACCTACACATGAATGAGAAATATTGCAAGTGTTACAGCAATAAACAGTCAAACCCCCTGAACCTTCCGTGTTCCAAAAATTACTGTGGCTTCAGACATGAAAAGCAAAAGTTTAGTTCTGCTTGTTCTCTGGGCTTTCAGTCATATGGGAGACTCTCCGATTGCGCTCTCAAGACTTCCTGTGCAACAACGAAGGGCAGAAGAAATTCTTTTCAATACAAAAAGAATGCCTTTTTTAATACCCCTTTGAGGACCTTTATCAACAAAGTAAAATAACATAAGATTCAATATAGTCATAAGGAAAAAAAACCCATAACAATTAGGCAACACTGAAGTTGCTACTCATTTAGAATTGTAGCACAAATTCACTCCTATGCAAAGATAAATCAAGATCCATACAAGACTTAGCGCAGCAAGCCCTTGGGATACAAATAGATTAGTGTATTTGAGCTGAGCCTTCCCAGAAGGGTAAACCTCACCTTTATGTACACTGCAGCTGTTAAATAAAGATTTGAAGCAACTGGAAACATTGGAATTCTAAAAGCTCCAAATGCAGGAGGGGGAAAAAAGCAATATTCACTCCCATTGCTGTTCATATGTGCAATGTTTTATCCAGCCAGAACCACCTCTACCCAAAACCTCACAGCAACTTGCTAGCCCTTATCAAGTCTCACCCAACACCTCTAGATTAGAGAACACAACTAATGTGTATGTAATACTTTCTGTCACTACAGGAGAAGGTTGGTGTAGCTACTGCAAGGTACTGGATCATTTGCTTGTACCATGTCACAGGTCAT